GGATCATGGATGCCTCACCATTTTTTTAACTAGGGGACTTCACAGAAACAACTGCTCTACTCTTTAGGGTAGAGGTTAGGCATGCGTCAGGGGCGCACCACCTATGGTGCATACGGTGGCATGGGGCTACCGCTTCGTTCCTCCATTGTAGTGTACAAAAGTTTAGGGTCTTCAAAGGTGCTACCATATAATTATGTTGGGTGCAAAAAAGCAAAGGACCTCACAAACATAAAACAAGGTGCGGGATTGAATCTCATTTGCACAGTCTTTTCTCCCCTTCGAGGTGCAGATTTGAATCTCATTTGTATCATTTTTTAGTTTTTAGCTTTTAATTTCAGGTTTATCATGTTTCTGAAATTTTTTGGGATAAAAGACTCTAACATAGGACCTCAGATACAAAAAATAAGGAATTAACGGACAGTGTAAAGAGTATCCATAACTTCGTTTTTTGTAGTCAAATAGTTCCACCACTTGGAAAAAAAATCAGGTCTGCCTCTGGTCTGCTTACATCCCATCCTCCTAGACCCCACCTCCGGATGGGACATACGGGTTTGTTTGTGTAAGATCCCAGGTCGGTTGGATAGGGGAACTAAGGTTGCTTTATAAGGGACTGGATACCTTCTCTATCATACGCGTTTTTTAAAACTGTGAGTCCAGGTATGGACAAAGTGGACAATATCTGCTACGTTTAGCCTGGGATGTTATGGTTTGGTTTGGTTTGGTTTGGTTTGGTTTATCATCAACCATATGATTGTAGTTACAATTGCCTTGTCATTTTTTAGTTTTGGGATATGCGCATGCCGACCTCACCGGTTGTGACATATAAAATTCATGATCATCTTCGCCCAAAGGTCAGACCTCATTCATGAAAATACTGTAATCTCGACTTAATTTGTTAATTCCCTTATTCTAGTACCCGAGTTTAAATTGTTGTCTACAGTTAGGTGAATTGTATAACAACGACGCCATATTTGACAAATTCGATTGCTGTCTTAGTGGAGATGGGACTCATTTCGCAACCGGATCATATAGGTCGGTCCCACTATCGAGTATCGTTCTTCCATCTTCCTTTAAATGCAAAACTTAATTTTTTCCGCGGCTTCTTCTTCCATTTTGACCTGTCAACTTATGCAGCTTGCGATTTTATCTTATTTGACTTAGCAATCATATGAGAATATATGGAGTTGGAAGCGAAGAAGGAACAACGCTGGAAGCTAGCAGAAACTCTTTCAGGTACGTTATACACTGTTCGTCCCAAAATAAGTGTCTACTTTCCAAAACTAGCCTTAATTATGAGATGGAGAAATTCATTGTTCTTTCTATTATTAGGGGTATATTTGTCTTTTAGTTAATTAAAAAGTGTAACAGTTACACACTTCTAAAACTGTTTCCAATTCTAGCCTTAATTGTGAGATGGAGAAATTCATTACTCTTTCTATTATTAAGGATAGAATTGTCATTCAGTTAATCAAAAAGCGTAATAATTACTCCTAAAACTGTTTCCGGTTCTACTCTTAATTATGAGATGGAGAAATTCATTACTCTTTCTATTATTAAGGGTAAAATTGTCATGTAGTTAATTAAAAAGTGTAATAATTACACACTCCTAAAACTGTTCCCAATTCTAGCCTTAATTATGAGATGGAGAAATTCGTTACTCTTTCCATCGTCAAAGGTAAAACCGTCAGTGAATTAAAAAGTGTAATAATTACACACTCCTAGAACTATGTGTTTTTTTCATCATGGACATTTATTTTGTGACAGATCGAGTACTTCGTTGCTCTAGTGAAGATTGTAGGCATTCAACTTTCCACATCCAAAATGTTTCGACTATTTGTCAAATATCTAAATAGCCCCTCAATGAAAACGATTCTTTTGGAGCAATCAATCCATGATTTTATGTGTGACAATGGTAACGAGCAAATAGGGAACTTGAACTTGGAAACTTCCCAAGAAAATATTGTTGGAATTCTCAAAAGGGCAAATTGCATGAAAATGTAACCTACTCTGTTATGATTCTTATTTTGTGTAACGTACTTTCAAAACCTTTATTTTGGATGTTTCAATAAGTATTGCAATTTTCATGGTCGAGAGGGAGAACCATTGCAGCTTGATATACTCCCTCCGTCCCAAAACAGTGTCCACAATAAAAATAACACATGGTTTTAGGATGTATAATTATTACACTTTTCAATTAACTAAATGACAATTTTACCCTTAATAAACCAAAAGGCCTTTGGCCTAGCGGTATGTGAGTCTTTGGCCTCCTAGGAGGTCAAGGGTTCAAACCTCACCAAAAGTGAGGAGGGTGTGTGGGTTTATTTGTTCTATTTTCCATATATAAATATTATATACTTCAAAAAAAAATTACCCTTAAAAATAGAGAGAGACTTTCTTAATCTCATAATTAAGGATAAAATGGGAAAGTAGACACTTATTTTGGGATAAACTAAACTAGAAATGTGGACACTTGTTTGGGACGAATGGAGTAATTGTTCAATGTAAAACCAACCCAATATATCCCTTTGTCAGACGTGTCATCAATCCCAAAAAGTAGAGCGGTTGTTTCAGTGTCGCCATTTTAATTTGGCTTTCGAAGACCATTGCATAAAAAGGGACGTTTGTGTATATCTTTTCATTCGTTGGTTACAGAAAGCGGCCTCCGCAAGCAACTTCAAAGGTTCGGAGATCATCCCTGAGCAACCTAACACGGGGGTTTTACCGACAAGGTTCCGATTTTACTTTTTATTTATATTATTAGGGACGTTCAAGAGAGAACGCTAAAAAAGAGAACAAGGGAACCCCCCGTCTGTCGTTGGATCTGTAATCGTGGATTTAGTTTCGGTAGAATGTAACCATCCCTATTATTCACAACCTTTGGATTAAAGTAGATAGATGGTTCAAATGGGTTCCCTTGTTCTCCTTTTTTTAGTGTTCTCTCTTGAACCCACCCACTATATTCTTATTTGACATATTTACAATTTTCTTACATATTATCTTCAGGCCACAACACTTCAGAGTCGGAAAATAACGAATTTTCTTGCGACTTAAATTCGAAGTTGCTGCATTTAGCCTGGCACCCGAAAAGCAATATGATCGCGTGCTCGACCGGAAACAGCTTGTTCATGTACTATGCATAGAATCAATGATCAAGTAAGTTCAACAAAATACCAAGAAACATTTCATCATCTACTCCCACGGTTTTTTGTTCCACATTTTTGAGTCAAATGGGTGCATATATATATATATATATATATATGAAAATTAAGCTAACAGAAATGTAATTCTGCAACCATATGATATTAGGCAGTACTAAACATCATAGAAATCAGAAAGATTTTGGATTTGGATATGACATGGAGAGCCTTCATTTGTGTGTGTGTATATATATATAGAGAGAGAGAGGGGGCGGGGAAGGTTCAAACCGAGAACAATAACTAAATAAAAGAACACGAAAACGGCTAAAGCACATGCAAAATTACATGTGATTTTACACTATCTTATCAACTTAAACATTGCCCGCACCCTCAGATAGCGGCCAAAGTTGCATGAATCACATGTGATTCAACTGTTTTCTTATTATCTTATTTAGTTACTGTTTTTAGTATGAACCTTACTCTCTCTCTTTCTCTCTCTCTATATATGTGTGTGTGTGTGTATATATGATATATGGGTGATTTTAGTTTTATCAAGCATTTTGGTGCAATTGTGATTTTGAAGGGATCGACTAGGTGAAAAAGGCATATATAACGTGAGTTTGGAGTGCTCACTCACAAATGTAGTCTCTATCACCATAAGACCGGTGGTAAGGGGTTTGCACCCCCTTGTTGGGTCGAAGGGCCAGCTCCCCAAAACTTCCACGTATTTTATGAAGAGGACTGCTTAGGAAATTTGAGTTTGTGTATGTTATCATTCTGAATTTCGGTCGAAACTTGGTAAGCGCTTAGCGGTTCCATCACCTTAGCGGGTGAATGCATCAAGGACTAAGAATCTTACCCAGTAAAATTAAGAGTGAAGGCAAGAATCGAGAGTCATACCGGGTAAGTAAGGGTGATGATGACTCTTACCCATAAGTGCTTACAGGGTTATAAACGCTCATCATCAAACCATTTTGATGACCGAGAATGTTACCCCATAAGATAATTGAGAGTGGTGACTCTTGTCGATAAGCGTTTATCCTGTAAGCATTTGATAAATGGTCCCTAAGTATGGAATTGGAAGCACCTCGGAGTTTGCTAGCAGATGCTTCTGATTGTGAAGGGTTCTGACTCAAAGCTTCTAAGTCGCTTTTTGATTAAGCTTTTAAGTGTGCTTCTGATTATTTCGATATTATCCACAAGCACTTATAAGTGTCTAACCATCACATAACTGTCGATCTATCATATAAATATATAAAACGCATTATCCGGTGTAAATTCAATTTTACTGATGTTTCCATCATAGTAATCATTTTTTGATAGTTCTCGAAATTCGGAGAATTTCACTGTATTCTACTTTCTCCATTTTGGAGAAAATTTTTAGAGAATATCTTTGAAGCAAAAAAAAAAAAAAAAAACTTGTCTATTTTCTCCGTTTACAAAACGCTTACCCGGATAACCGTTTACCAAATCAAATTATCTTACCGGAAGAATATGACAAGGGCCAAAAATTTTACTCTGTAAGTGCAAAGATAACGACCGAAAGTTTTACCTGGTAAGTAAGAGTGATAACTTTTACCCGGTTAGGCTTACCGGGTAAATTTTTGCATACGATGTTGTTTTGATAGACTAAAATCTTACCCGATAAAATAAGTTATAGTGTTATATTTTATCGTAAACGCTTACTGGATAAGTATTTAAGTAAACGAAGTCTTATTCATCCTAACTCAAACTTGGTAAAGACTAATCAACCAAACAGTATACACAATAATATAAAATTTATTTATTTATACTATATTATAAAGCATTTGATAAAAACTCTTAAAAATCAATTTTTTATGCATGAAGAAGTATTATTTATTGATACATATTACTTAAAATTCAAGATTACAAGTAAATTATGTGTAAATACAACTTATTAAACTTGCATGTTTGAATTCGTATAACTAACTATATATAAATATAATCAAATAAAAGATAAACATTTTATTTTAAATATAAAAAATCTAAAATATAATTAGAATAATTATTGAGTTCTAACACAATACTTAATTATTATCTTTATAAAAAATTATATTATTAAACCAAAAATTAATAACTTTGTTATTAAACCTAAATTAAATTATAATAAACAGAATGAATTAAATAAATTACACCAAAAAATCACGTTTTTAAATAGTTAGTTTGGTATTAATATCAGTATATATATATTTCAAATTCTCATGATATCTTCATATTTATATTTTATTCATAAATAATATATTATCGTTGTTTTAAATCTAATTATAACATCTATTAAGACAAAAAAGAAATATATATTAAAATCGAAATGTATTTCGTTGTATTATATAAATACCCTTCTAATGTTAATAAACTGTGTAAATTTGATGGGATACTATTCATCCAACATTAAGAACTTGTGTGGTATTTTGTCGTATTATGTTACTGTAAAAGTTTTTTGGTAATATTTTTCTTTTTGTCCTATTTTATTATTAATTTCCAAATAAAAATTTCACATATTTTTTAATTAATAAAAAGACAATTTTATCCTTAGTTATATAAAGAGATTTTTTTTTTCATTTCAAAATATAAGGGTAGAATCAGAAAGTAAACATTTAGGTGGCGTTTGTTTTTTAAGAGGTGTTGAAGTCTGAAGTCTGATTTCATTTCTGATTTTTAAGAGGTGGTGCTGAAGTCTGAAATCTGAATCAGTCAGACTGTTTGTTTTTGTAAACTGACAAACGTCTGAAGTCTGAAATCTGAATCAATAGTTTGCTTTTGTAACCAACAAAACATATCAATATGTATAATTTTTTATTTCACTTTTGTTTATATTCCCAAGATTCCCTTAATTCTTCTTTCTCCTTCAGATCAAGCCTTCCATCCTCATCCCACCACCATCAACCATCGTCCACCACCACTTCTCTAAAATCCAACGTCCAAATTCACCTCTAAAATCGAACCAAATATTCATCATGATGAAAACTACAGGGACGAAAATACTTTGATTCACGAGGATAAAGGTGCACAACTACTGGTTTGCACAAAAACGAAAACACACAGTGGCGAAAACCCACAGGGAAGAAAACCCTCTTGATTTGGATCTGATTTGGGTCGAYTTGAAGCCACCAGAGGCGATGGAGRGTGAACTCGATCGATTGAGACGATGAGGAGGGTGAACTCGATCGAATGATGAAGTAGAAATCGGTTCTCTGGATAATTTTCAGGATTAAGAGAAAAATAAGTGGTTAGGCTATCACTTAATTTTTAAGAGGAAAATAAGGGATAAGTGGCTCTGAAAGGAAAAGAAAAACAAACAGTCTAAATTGCCTTATGTCTGACCGAATCAGACATAAGTGGTTAAATAAGAGCTTTTTTAAAAAAACAAACACCACCTTACTATTGAAAGTGAGCATTTGTTTTGACACAAATGCAGGCATTTATTTTCAGATGAAGGGCGTGTATGTTTTGATTATATAATGTAAGAAAATGTTTCTAGGAATTCAAGCAATGGGTTGGGTTATGGTGAGGATGGTAAGAAGGGATCTTCAACCCTGGATCAATCCGAGTCGAAGATCAACAGTAATCACCAAAATGAACCGAATCAATTCCCGTGATAAGCGCAATTCATTGGGGGTGGGGATGGGATTAAGGAATTGTTTACCTAAACACTTACCCGGTAAGCACTTACCGATAAAAATCAACACTATCTTTTACTTATCGGATAAGATTTTATTCACTAAAACGCATCGTATGCAACAATTTATCCCGGTAAGCGTTAACCATGGTAAGAGTCCTCGTCCTCACTTACCGGGTAAGATACTCGATTCTTGCCTTCGCTTTTACCGGGTAAGATTTTTAGTCCTTGTCATATTCATCCGGTAAAGTAAAGTGACTTGATAAGCGCTTACCCGGGTAAGCGTTTGGTAAACAGCACATAAAAATGATCAACGGTCTATATCACTTCTTACGTTTCTCACATTAACTCATATTCTTACACGATCATTCGTCTTCAAACAATATCACATAATAATGTATGTTGACATCGAATTTGAAGTTTTTTGATCCAAGAAATCTTCAAAATCCAATTTTTTTAATGATATATAATAACAAAACCGGGGTTTAGGGACATTACAATCAATCAATATATCTTCTTGTTGAGGCTGATCCAGACCATACAAAGGGACCAATTCAAGGCCGTGGAGATTGGAACTGACCCGTTAACCATTTTGTCCATCTCTACTGTAAAATGACTGGTAATGTATGTGTCCATTTTGATATTTTTATTGGTGTTATGGTTGGGGTTGATCTTAACCATACATCGGGTCTTGCAACCAAGCAAGTGATGTTTTGATCATAGAGATGAAAATTTCACCCCTAACAGGACAGGGAATTCCAGTTTGACAGGTAACAGGACAGGGACGTAGATTTATTTTCCTACCTAAAGCAGAGTCAGGGTAATAATAAGTACGGATAAGTTGTACCAATTGATTGATGATAAATAAATGAATTGTGAGTAAAGAAAACAACATATTCAAGGTAATCAACATACGAGAATATTTTGATGTACCAAAATATCAATCCGACTAACCCAATCCAACTCATACGGTTTGGGTTGGGTTATATTTTGGTTTGGGTTTGATCGAGATTTATCAAACCCCAAACATTATATTGGATTATTCAAATGTCTTCAACCCGATCAATCCAACTCGTGTGTGTTTGTATTCTGGTCGTGATGGTTTAAGCTTTTTTTAATAGAGTATCACAAGCGGTGGTTTAAGATTTTCTCAAACGGTACGATTTGAAATGAAGCGTCCAAATCACTCAAATCAAACCACAAAAATACAAACTTCGGTCGGTTTAAGCTAATTATGAGTTTTAAAATATTTCATAATACAGTATAAATGTTTATCTCGATTTTTCAATGTTAATACGCATTTAAATGATAGCACATGCTAAAAGAAATAAAACGAGTTTTGTGAGTTGTGTTTACCTATTCAAAAACCTGTTGTTTACAAAATTGTCCGATGTATTTTTACCCGAATTTCACCATTTCAAGAGATTCTTCAAGTTTTTTTTTTGTTGATTTTGATGGACTTTTTCGGGTTTTTTATTGATTTCGAGGGACCTCTTCCATTTTTGTGATTGATTTCAAGAAACTTTTTAGATTTTTTGGTTGATGATCCTTGTATTTTCGAATATCTCAGAGCATTACTAAAAGTTTATCAAGTGCACCTTTCATACCACCAAAAAAGTTAACTACGAAAATCGGTTGAGCAGCTACACGGGACCCCGCTCAGCCCTCATAGATCTACCCCTCTCACGAAAATAGATGAAACAGAAGTCATAAACATGATACAAGATCAGTAAATTACAAGGCTATTCATGTCACATTAAAACCCTAAAACCTTTCACAATATTTCTAACTACCTCAGTATCGTTCGATCTTCCAATCCAGTCTCGTCCAAATACCAAAACACCGTTCTACTGGTATTCCAAACAAAAACAACACGCCTTATATCTCATGTTTATCTACAACAAATTTGATTGATTTATTATATCATAAAAACATACCATCTATTAAAACTGCTTCCTGAGGGATGCATAAGAAACCCGAGGCGGACCAAGAAATATTTTCAAATTGTGACAAATTTGACTAAAAATACCTAATTTTTTTCACAATATTAGTATATATTTGTTGGTTGGTTCCTTGTCTTTATATAGAAGAGACCCATGTTCAAGTTCGGTCTACATATATTTTCAAAAAACACAAGTACGTAAAAAAAACACCAAAATTTAAGCTAAAAACAACAAATTTGACAAGTATACGCTCAAACCTGGGCCTTTTGTACATACTACAAAAACAGAAGCATTTACCATCCTAACCATTAAAGTCTTGTGTTAGCAACTTTCAAAATCTACACGATTAGCACCCAACTAAACAGTGACACCCTTCAAAAACGTAATTTTTTTTTTTTTTGATTGACTTGGATATCCAACCCGCTATGCAAGCCGATTAATCCCAGGGCGACCACCTGCTTTGCAGATAGTCCGGAGTCATCGCATTTGAACCTCCGTGGCCACAAGAGGATTTTTATTCCTCCTTGGATTTGAACTTGAGACATCCAGAAACGTAATTTTTTCCCCTTATGGTGGAACCAGCATCATTCCACATAGGTCCACCCCTTAATAAACCATCCACCCCCAATGAAACAAAACCACACCATCACAAACATAAAAAGCCAATTTCGGCTCGCATAACAAGTTGGATATCCAAGTTAATCAAAAGCCAATTTCAAGATCATCTCATGAGAAACAACACATAATTTGTGTAAAAAATGGTTAATCTCAAGAACTGAGAATAAGAACTCAAATACAATGTATTTAAAGATACAAAATCCAACCTGTTTTTTTGCTTGTAATCCTCAAGAATGATATGAACTCCAATTCAAAATCTGGGGTTTTCCTACCACTTTTGCCTCAAAGCTGCCCTATTGGAACACATTACATGAATGAAAAAGAGGATTAAAAGGAAATTGGTTCTTCCAAAATCCTAGATAAAATTGGCCCTCTTCAGAAACCTCAGCAATTTGCAATATCTCGGCCATATCGACTCGATGTAGTCCAAATACTTGTCGACGATCCATTCTTGAACGTGTTTCCATATCCCTTTAAAGCCTAAGTTCCTAAAATCGGCCACAGGTTTCCATAAACGAGCGTTTATAGTTTCTTCAAGCTTTCCGCTAACAACGAAATCATAATAAACAGGGAAGTTGTTTACCACTTTGACCGACTGCTTGAAGCTATAAATGTAAAGTAAGCATAGCCCTTGAACGATTTTGATATAAAGTGCAACCAGCAGCGGTCCGCATATCCACAAAGGAGTCAGTTCCTTGGCGACTTCCGGTCCATACTTCATATTCACTGCTAGATACATGGGTATACTGCAAATCAAGCGAAACGAATTAGAAACGAAGACAAGTGTGACAAATTCATGTAAAAAGACCTTTTGACAGATATTTTTTATTTTCATGATGATCTGACAGGTTTGACAATGTCGTTGCTTAAGAGAAGAATGTTACTTCCATACACACGAATGCCTAAAAACCTGTCAGAAGGTCGTTGATTTAGGTAAGTCATTTAGCTAAAGGAGATTTCTCTATGAGGAGGCCATAAGATGCTTATGGTACACGGACCGGACTGGACATGACTGAACAGAACCGGACAAGCGAGAATGAGGTAGGCGGGGTTTTAGGGTTTTCATTTGACACGGGGAGTTTAGCAATTTACCAAACTTGTCTTGTCTCCCTGATTTTTTGGGAAATCAGACTGAAATAGCCAACCTGTCACCCAAATTCACTTTTCGGCCACTTTTCAGAGCCTCTTCCCAAAATAGCAGGTCTTTACGCTTTTGCGTAAAGACTAAAAACTGATTTCTGGAAGGAAAAAAATCAATTTGAATACTTGCGCATATGCATAGGATTCTGAGCAAAAATTTGAATCCTTACAAAAAATCTGAATCTTTAAGCAAAAAATATTTTTTCTTCTTTTTCTTTAATCTGAAAATCAAGTTTACACAAATGCTTTCGGCTAAAATGAGAATTCAATTAAAAAAGTGGCTAAAAAGTGAAGTTGGTAGGGGAGATTGGCTATTTTGGTCAATTTCCCTTATTATTTTAGGACAGAAAAGAAGCATTTTTGTCCCACTCAGGTCTTGTCCTGTCACAGTCTAATGTCGTGCCAAATATGGGACAAGTTTTTGTACTGTCTAGTCCCGTGTACCAAACGCACCCAAATGCTTTCAGGTGTAGAAGCAAAAAAGAATTACTTGTAATATTTATAGCAACAGCATGCTCAAGAAACCCGCTTGGAATTCAAAGGAAGTTCTAAATGAAGCTCATTGAAATCAATAGAATTCTGACTTACAAGATCATTGCAGGTATCTTTATCGCTGCATCCAGACCCATTAAGCTGCCCGAAAACGCCTTCAAAATCACACCTCTTCCACTGTTTTGTATCTTGTGGTCCGTTTCCACTTTTTCGTTCAAAGATGGCTCTTCCAATGGACCATCATTGGGTACTTGACTCGATGGTGGTGGTGGTGGTGGTGGCGTGCGTAATAACGTCAACCAACTTTTAAATAGATATTGTATGGCTAGAGACCCTGCCGTTGTCTCATCGACATTAGAGGTAGGAGTAGCATGATTGTTCTTCACCTTTGGTGATTCAGCCAAGGTTTCTTTGCGATCCTGGGGAACATAGGAAAGTTTGACGGGATTCTTAATGGATTTCGACCCATTTTCTCTGCCACCTGATTCATCGTTCTGGACGTTACCTTTAAAGGATGATATTTTTAGTGATTTCCTCTTTGATAGAGGCGCCTTTACACTGTTTATGAATAATTATATCAGTATACGAGGTAGACAAGAGTGGAAAGAAAAAATTAAGTCATTTTTTGCATCTCGGTTACTCAAGGCACAGAAGAACCCGAGAGGCAATGAATGATTCCAAAAAATAGAACAAATGAAAAAATTACTGCAAATTTTAAATAGAAATAACCACCATCAAACCTCCAAAGCCACCACTCCCTTCATCCCATAGAAACTGGAACATTCATTTCTTAACGCATGCTACAGGAGCTTCTTATGGGCTGTTTGGTTGGTTTTCCATCAATTCCTGTATAAAGTTGTCTGTGTGGATTATTCCATCTGTATAGATTAAGATCTTTGTTTGGGAGGGTTTTCTCATAGATGGAATAAGCGTGCTTTTTAAATGGAAAAGGCAGGTTTGGAAAAAAAAACTTGGCTTTATGCATAAAGCTCCCCTCTAGAAGCTTACTGAATAAGCCACTTCCTATATCATTAAGCCACTACCAAACAGTCATGTATAGCTGACTGAATAAGCTGTGATTCCCATTAAGCTGCTAACAAACAGGCCCTTAGTCTCGTTTTTTGAGAAAATGGTATCCACTATTTTAAGTACGCAATTGCAAAAGATATCTCACAAGAACTTTACTCAAAAGGACCGAATAACCCTTAGAAATTGTTCTCAAATAGCAAAGTTTGCAATTTTCATGGGGCATGAGTATATATTATTCCTTGAACTATCTGGTTGATTACATTTAAACCGTATGAGGTCTTGGGATGAAAGAGTAACAGTTCATGTAAAAACGAAAAGGCCACTTTGTACTCCGACTATTTTAAACTTCTTTAAGCATAGTTAGAGAAGGAACTTTAATTCAGGCCTAATATCTGATCTAAGAAACTCTCTCTTATAATTCACCTACCTTCAGTTTCCCCGTATTATCAAGCATCTCTTATTTTACTTTCTTTCCATTCCCATAACTAATAACCCTATCTTATCATTATGTTCGTTAATTTTGTGACCTTGCATTATAATTTAAAAAGAAAACCACTTCTATTTCCACCAAAAGCTAAAGGATAAGATACATGAGGAGGGTTAGCAATAGTTGGGTTTGATTAAAGAGAGAACAATGAATTTAGTCCATGTGGAGGAAAGAGCAGATAGGAAATAGAGAGAGAGAGAGAGAGAGAGAGAAAGCTGTGAGAAAGTGTGTTGAAATAAAGCAAGAAAAAGGGAGGGGATATATAGTTGGGACTAAGGGTGAAAAAATAGCTTTTGCAGGGGTTTGAAGAAAAAATTTAAATAATTCTGGGAAAATACACAGAATGTATTTCCTAAGTTAGAACTTACAATAGCAACCCCTTCCTCTCTTTTATGTATAATCAGCTAAAAAACTATCAATCACATACTTAGAAGACCCACAGAGCTTTTGTCCAATTGTCATCCAAATTAACAAAAGTCAAGATTAAGGGAGGTAGACTAAGATGTTGTGAACTAAAACATAGACCATAAATGTTCGAAAACTTAAAAAAACTCGTAAGATTCCATGCCATTTGGATGAAAATGATGCAATGTGATTGTGATAATTTAAGTAATTGATAGATCTTTTAGATACGGTATGCAAATAAAGAAACCCACAAAGATCAGGGATCACTTTATGTATTTTTTTCCTACATAGTATTTTTAAGTATTCCGCAATTATTAAAAGAATTCCACCATGTATGGCAGTAAGCCCATAACTATAAAAAAGATAAGGAACAGAACTTTCTTTATCCATCGTTGAATAGGGGGCTGCTTGGTTCATTTTCCATTACGTTCTTTATGGATAAAATTGTTTTGTGTGGATTAATCTGTCTGTATAGATTGGGAAGGTTTTTGTTTGTGAAAGTTTTTTCATTGATGGGAGGAGCTTGTTTTTTAACTGGGGGGACGAGTTTAGAAAAAAAACTTGGTTTTATGCATAAAGCTCTACCCCTAGAAGCTTACCGAATAAATTGCAGTCTCATTAAGCTGTTAACAAACAGACCCTAAGAATGATAGGAGCTAGGGCATCTAAGTCATCATCTCCAAGTAACCGCATAGCACAAACTCTAACAAGCTATATCGAACGAAAAGACAGGTATGTGAAAAAATCTGATGTCCAACCCAAACCAAGATACTGAGGATTGCGAGATAATTCAAACATGTTTAAACACAGAACGGAAGGAGATAACCTAGCCACAAGGAGAAATAATATCAGTTACAGGAATAGAAGGCAACTGAACATTAATGCAAAGTATCAACAAGAATACACTGTCATTATAATCCCACTCTAACTTTGATAGGAAGGTTATTGATCCTATTTTACTTCCATTTTGAATCTTTAAAACCATTTGCAACTAGTTAATGCTCTACTTCAACTTCAAATTAAATTAAACATTTTAATGTCATGTATGGTTTCCAAAACCATAAGAAATTAAAGAAATTTCATAATGGAAAAGGCAACGAGTCTCTTATGAAGTTATAACATTGATGTTCTACTTCAACTTTGAATCATACCAGGCATGGTTTCCACAAGAAATCATAGAATTTCTTAATGCCTAGGCACCGCAACACAAGTATCTTAGGAATTATATTAAAACATGAACATTAGCAGTCATACCCAACTTCAGTTTAAATGTGAAAGATCAAAATATGAACAAATAAAGCTAGATACTTACCATAGATAAGATCTATGCTTCAATAAAATAATATCTGCTCTCCTAACAATTGGAAATGCTGCTAAAAATTTCTTTGGTTCAATCCCTCTCTTCAAAGATAAGGGTCTTGGAGGAGCATATGAACCCTTAAAATAAAAAATATAAAAGATCCATTAGAATCACCTACATCAAACAATTGCATTCAGCAACATTAAGGACTATGAATACAAAGTAACAGACATTTGTAACGTGTAGATAGGTGAGACCAATTGTCATGCTAAAAAAAATGTATCATGGAGCACAACGCTTATCATATATCCATAAGATGGTTCCCACTAACAAAAACTGAAAATAAGAACCAAAAGTCGACAAGGTAAGATTATTAGTAAGTACATTAATACACATCTGATGATGGCCTTCCGACTAACAAAAAAATTTAACTTGCAAGGATGCCTCAAAAAGAATGCACTTTCTGCCTTCCAACTATGACAACATAACAGTGAAGAAAACAAACTTCCCCCACTGTAGAACATGCAATAAAAGGTCAATATTATTATGGAAACTCAATACTAAAATACGGTGAAATCATTGTCAAGAAAAACAACTTTCATAATTCATCCTGTCCAAAAGCAAGGACACAGTCAAGACTTTTGATGTAGTTGAACGGCCCAGTCACATCCAGTTCTTGACCAACATTGTAAGTGTACATCACGAATGCATAAGTGGGGTTCCTTCATGTTTGACTTATATCAGTTTTAAGATTATAAACATAATATATCACTTATCATATGCAAATCCCTGTAACTTACCATATGCAAATCCCCATAACATAAGAAGTAGAATGTAAATGAATCCCCTAGATATCTTGACCAAAAACAACTTCAGTTGCCTTCAAGAGAGTTAAAAAACAGCACAAACTTAAAATAGTTTTGATAACAAAAGACAGACATATCGTTTTTGTCTACTCTTATCAAAAGTATTGTTGATACTTAATAATTCATCTGAAGGGATAACCAATGAGGTAAAAAACAGGTGTTCCAATGTAGAAGTTACAACTCTCGTGTTCTTTATTCTTAGCTCTCACAAAGAGTTCATTCATACATTCACCTCTCATCTTAACATATACAGACAGTAAAACAATGTAGTCAACATTTCTTTTACCTGAACCTGGTGGGTTACTAATGCCATTATCCCCTATCAAATCACCCTACCGTATATGCAACGACATCATACATAGCACCTGCAAACATAACAATTGACTAATATTAGTTGCAGAAATGAGAAACCCACAAGAAACCATTGGAGGTTAGTTCAGGCACATGCTCAATAAAACACAACTCTCTAGCATGAATCACCTACCCAATCAATAATCATACAAAAATCTTCTTGTTCCGAATCCAAATTTTGTCAAAGAGAACTAACAAAAAAATGGGGTTGTAACGTTGTCATAAACTATCATGTATGACAATATAGCCATGAAGCAAAGGAACTTTACCCTTCCATTCCCTTTTCCATTTGTTCCTAACAGAACATAGCGAAAATTAACACAAAAAGGAAATTCCAAATCTCCGCAGTATGAGCAAAACCTATCAAAATGAATAAAAACCTAAGAACCAAATTAAATACAAACAATCACAAATCCATAACTTCACAAAATTGCATCACCGAGCTTCGAAATTACATAAATTCTAACGAATTGAAAACCATAGAGAGATAACTACCTGTATGTATCAAAAACTGGTTCGTAGCAGCTGCGGATAACAATAATGATTAAAATTGTGTTAATTGAGAAGCGATGATGAATTTGTGGGCGTGATTGTGGGTTAGACGTAAGGATGAGCGGGTGGGTGGTGGGCTTGCTTGTACCAAAAGAATACAAGAAAGTATCGGGGTGAATTGCAGACGAAAAAACGAAAGCTTTATCTGTTATCTTCCAATGGAGTTTTGGAAGGAAAGATTAGGATAGAAAGAGGATGACGAAAGTGGTGAAAACGAACGTCAATTTGGGTCAAAATTAGGGTTTTAAGAGGAATTTTTCCCCCAGTTTCTTTAACTTGGGGATAAAAGTGATGGCGGTTGTTAATTGTGAAGTTGTGATTTCAACATCTGCCACATAACTTTTGGAATATTACAGTTCTCACCCTTGAAGTTTATATTTTTGACAAAAAAAAGGTAACAATTTATTGATGATTAGAATCGTTACAAATGAAATTTAAATCATTTAACAATTTATTTTTTATTTTAAAAATACATTTTTTTGTTTCAGATTTATCGTCACATACATTTGAATTTATCGTTACAGAAAGTTGTGTATGTCACATAATAACTCTCTACTATTTATCATAAATATTAATTTTTACCATAATATTCATCATAAATATACTACAGTTTCAACTTTACATACTTTAGTTTTTCTTTATTGGGTTCTCGATTGATCTGGATGAGTTTTTAATTCATCTGAATAGATTTTTCGATCCATTTAGATAAAAGTTAAAAGTGGTAGGTTATGGTTTTACACAAACAAACACACAACAAGTAAATTGATGAGTTCTTGATTGGTGTCGATTGGTCCCAATGGATTGTCGATCGATCTCGATTTGTTCTTGATTGGTCTGGTTCTCGATCATTTTCGATAAAATATGAAAGTGATGGTATATGAAGGTGATAGATTATGGTTTAACAAATACCAAGTCAATGAATGGATTCTCGACCATTCTCGATCGGTTCTCAACCGGTCTCGATAGGTTCTTGCTCAATCTCGATGGGTGTTGGGTTACGGTGATGAAAAACGTGGTGTCTTGCGACGTTGAAGGTGATATCAAATTACGGACTTACAGTGTCGAGTTGGTGTACTCACTTGAACGTTCATAAATATTCATAATAAATATAATACATACATATCATTTCATGAAAAAGAACGGGTAAAACGAAAACAAAAAAAATATATCAAGATGAATATCATTTCAAAGAACATGAAATTCTCGTTTTTCTGATGTAAATTATTTGATTAAAATATTAGTAATTTTTAAGTTAAATTTAAACTTTTAAGGAGGTAAAAAAATTTAATTAAAAAAGAAAACAAAAGGTAAAAAGAAAGTAGACATATATTGAAATTAAATATTTTTTACCCCAAACCAAGGGGTGAAAAATATTTAATTATTTTAATTAAAAACTAAAGGGTGTTTGGGATTGTTTATTTTAGATGTTTTTTGATTTATTTCAGTCTGGCATCGGTGATAAACTAAATGCTAGTGTTTGGATGAGAAAAAATAAAACTGCTTATACCGGTGCCAAACCGGTAATAAGCAGTTTTTGATAAGTTAATCCTTCATGGCTTATGAAAAACTGTTTATTACCAGTTTATCATTTTAACTATGTTTTATTAATGTTTGTTAATTATTAATCTTATTGATATAAATTTTTGTCAAAAATATTATTATAAATGATGAAAAATAAATTTTTACAAGTTAAAAAATCAAATAAGTATAATCAAAAATATTATTATATGGAAGACTGTCTTTTTGGTCATTTTACATATATAAGCAAAATTTGTCAAACACTAAAAAAAACTTATCAGCTTATTGCTTTTTGGTACCGTTATAAGCTAATCCAAACACTTTTTACAAAACTCCGATTTAATATCACATAAGTTAATAAGCACTTTTACAAAAAAACGTAAGTTGTTTTAAATAAGCAATCCCAAACACCCCCTATATTTAACATGAGTTGTTGGATTAAATAAAATAGAGACCGAGATCATTCCTCAAATTTATAATAGAAATTGAGTTTGCAATCAAACTTTTTTTTTACGAGAACACTTTTTTACTATAGACAATTACATGTGATATTATTATTCCATCACACACACAGATATATATATATATATATATGTGTGTGTGTGTGTGTTATAATTAAATGTTAAATGAAACATGGTTGTTTATACAATTAATTGTTGAATTTAAAAAAAGAACTTTACTTAAAGATTGTTTGTTTACCTATTAATAGTTCCATTAAGAGGTAACATCTGAATCGTTAAGAGGTAAATCTTCTCTTAATGGTTTCAAATCAATGATTTTGTACCATTAGTCCCTTAACCATTCAGAGCCCTAATTTCATTGTAAACAATTATATTTTATTTTTCACTATATCATGAAAGCCTCTTAATCATTATGACCACTTAATTATTTTGTACAAAACCATACAGCAACTGTCAAACAACCCCTTAAACAAAGCACATAACATTACATGTTTATCACAACTCTTTAGGTGTGAATGCGTAAGAACGGATTTGGACCCTTGATCACATTTAATCTCGAACTCACCCATGAATCACGCTTAATACGGGAATTGATCTGGTGCATCTCACTGGAACCCGACCCACTCTTTAGGTAGTGTTTTATACACAGACGGGATGAGACATGTCTTGACATAATTAATTGTCTGCATTTGATGCGATTAAAACCAAACTAAGAAAAACTGTTAAAATGACTAAATTACCCGAAACATGGGACTACCTTTTTTGTCACGTCACATCTCTTCAATCTTCAATGTGCACACCAAACACACTCTTAATGAGTAAAAATACAATCAAAATACGTTGAACGGAACCAAGACTACCCGGTAAGCGCTTACCGGTAAGAGCCAACACTCTCAATTACCTTACCGAGTAATAGTTTAGTCCATCAAAACAGCATCGTATGCAACAACTCACCAGGTAAGTACTTACGATGTAAGTTTTACTGGGTAAGACTCTCGATCCTTGCCATTGTTCTTACTAGGTAAGTTTCTTGATCATTGGCATGTTAATCTGGTAAGGTAACTAATCCCATAAGCGCTTACCGAGTAAGCATTTACCACTTAAATATATTAAAATTTTGACAATTGAGGGCAGCGAGGCAGAAACGACCGAAGGAGACAATGATGTGAGCAGTAGATACGAGAAATAAAGGGCAATAGTGGAAATGGCGACCTCTGAACGATTCAGGGGTTTTAGGAACCGTTCAAATGCTTTATTAATTTTGCCACACACTTAAGGGTCCGTTTACCAAACGCTTACTCAGGTAAGCGCTTACCTCATCGGATGAATATGGTAAGGACCAAGAATCTTAACTGGTAAGCGCGAGACAAGAACCAAGAGTCTTATCCGGTAAATGAGGGCGACGACTCTTACCATGGTAAACACTTACCGGATAAATTGTTGCATGCGATGTCGTTTTGGAGGACTAAAATCTTACCCGGTAAGTATATAATAGTGTTAAATTTTATTGGTAGGCACTTACCGGGTAGGTATTTGGTAAACGGACCCTTAGCCTCTCGCTGATTCATATACGCCCTCTTAATGGAACCATTATGATAAACAAACACACTCCAACTCCTACATGCATAAAACCCTAAAAGCAAACAAGCAACCAGCATTTCATAAAACAGGCAAAGAAACTGTTACCATCCTCTTTTTTTGACCCATCAAATTTCTTCACAAAATCTAATTAATTTGACCTCAAATTAGAATAACACTAACATTCAGATGTAAATTCATATAAACTACTCCTTAAGAAATCAAGATTCACAGATTCTTTAGAAATTTTGTTTGAAACCCCACAATCACAAATACATAAACCATAAACAAAACATACATTTACAAAACCACATTTCAGTTTCATGAAAAGAATCAAATAAAAATATATAACTGAGGGCGAAGAAATCATGTACCTTGGTGATGGTTCGAGATATCGAGGAGAAACGAGAGGAAATGGTGGAGAGGAGGGAGCAGGAGGGGAAATGTCAAGCGATGGTCGAGCGTGAAAAACCCTTATCGCAAAAGGGTAGGGCTGGAAGCTATTTACACTGATGGACTGACCAGGTAACATTTACCAAATGCTTACTCGTTAAGTACTTGGTAGGAGCCACCACCCTCTATTACCTTGTCGGATAACATTCTCGATCATTAAAATGGATTGTTTGTAGGCATCTCTTACCCGGTAAGCACTAACCAGGTAAGAGTCTTCTCCCTCGGTTACAAAGTAAGAACCTCGGTTGTTGCCATGTGTCTCAGCAGGTAAGATACTCGGTCCTTACCATGCTCACAACAGCAAGCGTTTAGTAAACGGCCCCAAGTTAGATAAGTGCTCTAGGGAAAAAAACCATATGCTGACCGAGTCAGTGTGCTGATCGAATCAGCATACGCCTGCCTTGCAATATAGCATCAACCTGCCAATAAAATGGCATCAAAGCTACTTATCTGCCACAAGTATTGTGATCTTGCAGCAACAACAAAAATCTACCTGGAAGAGATGACCCGTGGTGCACCTGGCCCTTGTAACTTGTAAGCAATTTACAAATGGATTGTTTTCATCACTCAAACGGTCAAGCCCATCACCTCCGGTTCAAGAAAAGGACAACCTTACTAGTTCCTCCAAGGCTCATCCTCAAGTAAACCCATGATATTTAGTTTACGGAGCGGAAATTCTGAGGGGAGGAAAGGCGCACATGCTTCATAGCAAGAGAATAAACCAACGATTCAAGATGCACCCCAACATCATGGCAGGATATCACCAGAGGCATGTGTCAGTCAAGCAAACAAGTGTTCTTGCTTTCATCAAGATTGGATGGGAATATTAACACATTTAGCACCTGTTAAATCTGGATCCAGCTAATCCCACAAACTTTCCTCTTTCTCACATCATCTAATTCATCCCTCAGGTTTTTCACATCATCCCACCTCCCATTTCCAGCGTGCAAATTCGAAACCATAACTTTGTAGGTGCTTCTGTCTGGATTGTCCTCTAAGAGTCGCTGAGCTACAATTTCTGCCAATTTGGAATCATTATGTACATCACAGCAAGAAAGAAGTGCACCCCAGATGCCAGAATCCACATGGTCTCCCAAGGAGTTGACAAGATTATAAGCCTCATCCAACTCTCCAGCCATACCAAGAAGTTTAACCAAGTGAACATAATGCTCGTTCTTTGCTTTGATGCCAAAATCGGCGTACATTCTTCTAAAAATGTCTCGACCTTCTTTGACAAGACCACCATGGGAGCAAGCAGATAGTAGAGCAGAGAAGGTAGAATCATCAGGTTTTAAACCTCTTTCAAGAACCTCCCTAAACACTTCAAAGGCTTCGGATGCAAGCCCATACAAACCAAGACTTGCTATTATTGAATTGTACGAAACAATGTTTCTCTTCGACATATGCTCAAAAACCTTGATCCCCAAATCCAAGAAACCGCACTTTGAATACATGTCTATCAAAGCAGAAGATACTATGACCTCACAATCTAGGCTATGGCGGATGGCATAACCATGTATCTGGACCCCTGTCGCCAAAATGACCAACTGAGCAATGACGGCAAGTAAAGTAGCAACCAGTACGGAGTCCGACTTTTTACCTTCAGTGTTCATTCTCTTGAATGAAACCAAAGCCTTATGATGCTCTCCAGACTGTGAGAAACCAGATATCAAAGCAGACCATGTTACTAAATCAGGCTGCGATAAACCATCAAATACTTTGTAGGCTGAATTCATACAACTACATCTCGAGTACATACTAACAAGCATGCTACTTATATGTGCATTAGAATCAAACCCACTTCTCAAACAGTAACCATGGATTCCTTGGCCAATTTCCAGCAAGCTAGAACACATCAAACCCGACAATAGTCCTACCACAGTATACCCATCAGGCTGCTTCTCCATTCTTCTCATCACAATAAACAAATGTAGTCCTTCCTCCCAATACCCACAACATCCATAGCCTGCAATCATTGTGTTCCATAAAACCAAATCATGTCTATTTAGCCTATCAAAAACCATTCTCGCATCATCAATAAGGCCTAGTTTAGAGTAAGCTGATACAAGTGCACTACCACAAATGAAATCCAGTCCCAAATCAGAAACAATCACTTGCCCATGCACAAGCCTAAGCCCTCCAAAATCAAGTCTTTCGGAACAAGCACGTAAAATGCAAGCAAATGTGAAATTATCAGGCTTTGTTTCTGAGGTGAGCATTTGTTTAAAGAGTCCAAATGCATCAAGAAAATGATGGGTTTGTGCATAAGCTCTGACGATGGAGTTCCAAAGATAGACAGTTCTGTTAGGAGTTTCATTGAACAGGTTATGGGCAGATGTAAGATCATTATTGATAGCATAAAACCTAATGACTTTAGTCGCGTAAAACGGATCATGTAAAAGGCAGGTCTTGATTAGTAAAGCATGAAACAATTTGGTTCTTGACAGGGTCTGATTAAGCTTTGAGAGTTCAAAGACAAGCGACTTAAATTGGACGAACATCAAGTGAACGCAGTAATTGAGAAGCGATGATGAAATTGTGGGAGTGATTGTGGATTAGACGTAGGGATGAGCGGGTGGTGGTGGGCTTGCTTGTACCAACAGACTTCAAAAAAGTATCGGGGTGAATTGCAGACGAAAAAACGAAAGCTTTATCTGTTATCTCCCAATGGAGTTTTGGAAGGAAAGATTAGGATAGAAAGACGATGACGAAAGTGGTGAAAACGAACGTCAATTTGGATCAAAATTAGGGTTTTAGGAGGAATTTTTCCCCCAGTTTCTTCGATTTGGGGATAAAAGTGATGGCGGTTGTTAATTGTGAAGTTGTGATTCCAACATTTGCCACATAACTTCTGGCATATTACAGTTCTCACCCTTGTGATTTTATATTTTTGACATACTCTTATTTTTTAAGGCTATGTTTGACAAACTAATTGATAAGTTAGTTAGTAGCTGATGAGCTAACCGGTAACTTATCACCTGATAGCTAATAAGCTAACTCATAGTTGATAAGTTAGTTGATGAACAAATCATGTTTGACAAAATTAGCTGATAAGAATGTAAAATGATTAAAAATGAATCATGAAAAGTTCATCAATTATAATATTTCAAAACATAACTGAGAAAATCTCTAATAGTATAATATATTAATTAATATAAATAAGATAATAAAAAATACAATATATTGATTAAAATAATTTCAAATTGATTATATATAT